CTTATTTTTTTCAGATCGTCCATGGTTAGTATATTTTAAAAATGCAACTGATTTTGTGTGTTGACTTTGTACCCTGTTACTTTGCTGAATTCACTTATTATTTTTCACAGTTTTTTTGTGGAATCTCTGGTGTTTTTTTACATTAAAGATATTATCTGTAAACAAAAATAATTTTACTTCTCCCTTTCCAATTTGAATGTCTTTTATTCTTGCCTAATTTCTCTGGCAAGGACTTCCAGTAATATGTTGAATAGAAGTGGTGAGAGTAAGCATCCTTTTCCTGTTCCTAACCTTAGAGGAAAAGCTTTCAACTCTTCACATTGAGTATATTGTGTTAAAAGAAAAGCCTTAGGCAAATTAAAATTTAAGAGTTTAATTGTGCAAAGAACAGTTCATCAACTAGGAAGTCCTTTAACCAGAATAAGTTCAGAGAGGCTCTGGCATTGCCATATAGTTAAAGATTTGTAGACAGAAAAGGAAAGTGATGTATGGAAAACAGAAGTAATATACAGAAACAGTCAGATTGATTACAACCCTGTATTTGCCTTACTTGAACATGGTATGAACAGTTGGCCACTTTGGATTGTCCAAAACTCAGTGATTGGCACACTGAGGTTACAGGAGTATGTTACAGTCTTTTCTATATCCAGTTAGGTTTCAGTTCACCATGTACAGAGAAACCTTCTGGCCAAACATAAAATATGACAGGAGGCAGCTTTAGGCAGCTGTAGCCAACTTTAGGCTTAATGTAAATTTACAGATGTTTGCTGTGGTTCCTCATATATGATTTACATTATGTTTAGGCAGTTTCCTTCTATTCCTAATTTTTTGAGTGTTTTATCATGAAAGCATATTGAATTTTGTCAAATGCATCAATTGAGATAATCACCTGACATTTTTCCTTCATTCTGTTAATGTGGTCCATTACACTGGCCATGTTTTGTATGTTGAACTATCCTTGCATTCCAGGAATAAATCCCACTTAGTTGTGGTGTATAATCTTGTTAACATGCTACTAAATTCAGCTTGTTAATATTTAGTTAAAAATTTTGGCATCAATGTTCAGAGAGGATATTAGTCTATAGTTTTCTTTTCTTGTGGTGTCTTTGTCTAGATTTGATATCAGGGTAATGCTGGCCTCATAAAATAAGTTAGAAAGTTCTCCCTCCTCTTCAATTTTTTTGGACAAGTTTGAAAAGGATTGGCATTAGTTTTTCTTTAAATGTTTAGTAGAATTCTGAAGTGAAGCCATTAGGATTGAGACTTTTCTTTACTGGTATTGATTACTGATTCAATCTTTTTACAAGTTACAGGTTTATTCAGATTTTCTCTTTCTTCATGATTTAGTCTTGGTAGATTATGTGATTCCACAGATTTGTCCATTTCATCCAGGTTATTCAATTTGTTGGCATACAGTTATTCATAGTACTCTCTTATAATTCTCTCTTATAATTCTTTTATTTCTGTAGAAATGTTAGTAATGTCCCATTTTTTATTTCTGATTTTAGTTATTTGAATCTTCTCTGTTTTTTCTTAGCTTTTAGCTAAAGGTTTTCACTTTTGTTCATATTTTCAAAAACCCAGCTTTTGGTTTCACTGATTTTCCTCTGTTGTTTTCGTATTCTCTATTTCACTGATCTCTGTGCTAGTCTTTATTTCCTTCTTTCTGCTTTGAGTTACTTTGTTCTTTTTTTTCTAGTTCCTTCAGTTGTAAAGTTAGGTTGTTAATTTTAGACTGCTTTTATTTTTTAATGTAAGTTCTTATAGCAACATATTTCTTTCTTAGCACTGCTTTTTCTATGTTCCATAAATCTGGGTATGTGGTGGTTTTGTTTTAATCTGTTGTTAAGTATTTTCTAATTCCCTTTTGATTTCTTCTTTGATCCATTAATTAAGAAGGTGTTATTTAATTTCTACAGATTCCTGAATTTTTCAGTTTTATTTTTGTTATTGATTTTTAACTTCAATCTGTTGTGGTCAGAGAAAATACTTTGTATGATATCTGTTTAAATCCATAAAACTAAATTTGTAATCTAATACATGGCCTAAGCTTAAAAAAAGTGTCCCATGTGCACTTGAGAAGAGTGTGTATTTATTATGTTATTTAAATCTTCTATTTCCTTAATCATTTTATGTCTAGTTGGTCTATTCATTTTTGAGAATGGGGTGTTGAAGTCTCCAAATATTATTATAAAACTGTATATTTCCCTTTGAATGTCATCAGTATTTGCTTCATATGTTTGATGTTCTGTCATTAGGTGTTTATATGTTTATAATTATTATACCTTCTTACTATATCAAAACTTTCATTAATATGTAATGTCCTTCTTTGTCTCTTGAATAATTGATTTTTATACATACTTTCTCTTTGTTTGCTGGACGAATTATCTGGATGGTGAAATTAAAGGTCATTTCTCCCTTATACTTTTAGGTTTAGAAAAAACTAATACATTTTATGAAAATTCAAACTAGCCTGCAGCACCAAAGAAAAACAATAAACACTAACTATACTTTCTTAGCAAAATGTCTGTTTCTTATTTTGAACGCTGAGTTATTTCTCATCCACCTAATCCCATCCTCCTAATTTTAGATAGAGTTTGAAGCATTGACAATGCTCTCGTGTAATTCTATTGTTCCATTTCTTCTACTATATTTTCTTATGTTCCATTTCTTCTACTATATTTTGAAATAATCACCCTACCACTACTCAGTCCTCAGCCATAAACTTTATGTTTTTAGAGTCAAATCCAATCCTGTGCAAATAAAGTATCAAATCTACCAAAAAAAGACTCTTTTCTCTCTTCTTATGAAAGGAACAGTTGAATGATAACATGCTGTCTTTGCCATGAGCATTGTTACGGAAGATATCAAGTTTATATATTCAGGCATTGCAGTAGGAAATAGGAATGGTTTTCTTTTTTTAAATTCCTATTCAAGTTGTCAAAAGAAAGTAGCCCCAAAATTCTCTCAGTCAGAAAGTTTATGCCACTTATCAAATACATTACACTTTAATATAAGTCTGAAGGAATTACATTTGAAACTGACTATAAGTTTGTAATAGGCAGGTGCATTATAGTTTGTTTCACTAGAATAAAACATGACAATAAAACATCTCTGGAAATACATCTATCACAAGGTAGCTTCTCTGGAAACAAATGATGAAATAGAATATGTCATGCTAGATGTTGATTAGCGATCCATATCTGTGGAAATGAGGAGAAGAAAGCAGGATTGGTCAAAAACAAGTCAAACTGCGGTGTAGGCCCACAAAGCCTTGGCCAAACCCACGGGAAGCTCTCAAGTGTACATGACATGAAAGTATACCAGAGTGGACGAAGTGGTTGAAACTTTATGTCCTTCCTGCAATTATTTACTAGATTTGGTCTATCCCAGGGTTTACCTTTGGGTGATGCAGCTTTCTGCAACTGGGACAGTTCAAAAGGTGCTGAGAGCTAAGAAGCGGACTGCTGAACTCCCAGTAGCCGGGCAACAAGTCATTCAATAAATGGGAATGTGGGCAGTGATTCTTCACATCACTACAATGTCTATTTAGGAGATATATCAAGCAATTGTAACTGGGAAAATTATTTCAATCCTGATATGAGCAGATACAATACATTTAAAAAATAATCATCTATGAGACAATCATGGAAACTTGAACAGGTGACTGGTTATTTAATGATATTTAGACATTATTGTCAATTTCTAAGTTGTGTAATGGCCATACTTTGAAATTTAGAGATACATGCTAAAATACATACAGTGCTACAAATGATAACAGCGATTTGCTTCAAAATAATCAAGGGGTGGGGAGAATGGATAAAATATGGATGAAACAAAATTGGACATTAGTCAGTAATTATTCAAGTCGGGCAATACCATACTCCATACCTTCATGTTTGAAACTTTCCATCATAAGAACTAAAACACACACACACACACACACACAAACACACATTCAGATTTTGCTTAAAAGGAGAAAAAAATTCTACTGATAGGACAAATAAAGCATACATTCAGAACTCTCTTTCCTTGGAAATTCTTTGCTGACATTATGAACTGAATATGGGTAATTCCTATTAGCCACAAAATTCCTACAAAATGGAATAGAGGTTATTTCAAAACTTTCTACGGAAAACACCTAGAGAGTGTCACTGGTAACTCATAGAATGAAAACAAAAGTTTAACTTAATTCCAGCAGAAGTGTCTGTAAAAGCCTCTCTATCTCATCAAAATTTTGTTATGAAGCAACTTGAACAAATTTTCCTTTTATGATATTGGTTGTTGGTCTTTGGATAGGGCAGGGAAATACTAAACCCTTTATGGCATTTGATTCCAGGTAGGGCCATTTTAAATGGGTTAAACAGTGAGAAACCTTTCCATTTGAAAATGTTTTTCTTCTGCTGAAGCAAGTCTATTGTATAGATGATACAAGTCACTATTTCCACAGAGATAGTAATTATTATAAAAAGGGCAAGAAAGAAAAAAATTTCAGCCACAATTAAGTTTTATTTTTAAATTCATGTCTATCTTTATATAAAGCCCTCAAATTGTCCCATTGATGGCAGTAATTAAATACAGAGAACAGAAATGTGCCATGCCAACATATACATGTACATCACACACACACACACACACACACACACACACACACACACACAAAATGCAAGTGCAGTAGCTGATGGACTGAGATGGTTCTTTCCAGGCCCAATTATGATTGATAGCATTCCATTACCTTTATGCTTATTTTAAAATCCCCTTGACACGAATTGATTAAAGGCACGGACCTCTATGAACCTATGAAAAATTTATGGATTTTGAAGGAGCTTTAACATGTACCATTTGAGCACAAATCATTTCCTGGCTGTCACTGTTTTTCCCACAATTTTTCTTATGTTGGTAATATATGTTTAATAATAAACAACTGATGCTAAGGATTAAAGCATCAAGATGTTACAGAATAAAGCAACAACAACAACAAAAAAGAAATTAGATTTGTATGATTTTAACTATTCTTTAATCTGCTTCTGGGCAACAAAAGTGATTTGTGTCAGCCGTTATTGCATTAAACTTTAATTTTCTTCCACCGGCACAGGATTATATAAAGGAGTATTGGATTGCACTCAGCATGGATTAGTTGAGCACTGTCTCTGCTGCCAAGGAGCAAATGGATTTCCTTCTTTCTTTGATTTATATTTTTATTGCTGTTTTTCCCCTCCTTCTAATTCCCATTACCCTTCTGTTTGCCAGCGCTGAGATACCCTGTAGGAGCAGCAGAAAGGCAGGCAGAATTATTGGCTTATTGCATATATTTATGTTCCAAGGCATCTCAGTCATCTATGTCAGAGGAATAATTTAGCCTCCAGCCATGGAGACTGCATGCCAGTTTCAAACTATAATATTAAGACTTGTTTTTTAGGTAAAAAGGAACCGCTCACCTGCTTAAAATCAGCCAAACTAGCTGGATTTGGCCTCACTTCAGATGTCCTGGCTGTATCTCACAGCAGATGGAAAAAACCACTGAGACAGAAAATAAAGATCCCAGGACTCCCTTTTGTGCGCAGGAGGATATATGCACCAAACCCCTTGAGGCTCAAGCAGGAGAATCGCCTCTCTGGCCTTTCCCCTTAGAGTCTTTGAAAGATATGAGATTGCCTCTGGAAATAAGAGCAAATAAATTCACTCTACTCAAGGAATGGAGGGCTGATTGTTGGCACTCTGCATGCAGCCTAGAGGGGGCGCTAAGGACATGGCTCTAAGCCTGCAGTGGAGACAATGGTTGACTCAGGCTGCACTAAGCAGAGGACACAGAGGAACGGTAGCAAGTAAACAAGAACAATGGTGTGTTCTGTTTGGTCTGCAAAGGTCTCTGGATTTCTGAAGAAGAAAATGAGCCTGACAGATTTAAGTTCTGGTTTTGGTTCTCACGGACTTCTTGAAAATAATGAATTCTGAAGTCTCAGAAGAGTGGCTATCACAAAGCAGCTCCACAGCAGATGCCACTTAGCAATACTTGGGAAGAATCCGAGCTGTCAAACTAGGGCCTGGCTGTTCTCACAGAGAGTAGCCCCTGCATTGGGAGCCACATGTATTCCCCAGGGGAACCACAGTGGCGGTCCCAAGTCAAAGAAACATTAATAGCACCATTTCAAAGAGAAGAATAAAGATTTTTAAACCAGTGGCAGGCTGTTAAAACTAGACTGAGAACTCACTGATGGAACAAAGAGGTTTCCATAGAATCCAAAGAGCAGAAAACCTTGTTCACGAATTCATCCTTAAGTATCCTTTGGATATAGAGCACACTCAAGATTTGGAACTATAAAAGTGTGGTTGGATGTGACCATCTTTATTCAGACCTTTTAACACATCTATTTGTGGACTAAATTAGGCAGGATGTGTTTCCAAGATCAAGTCTCACTTATTACTTGTCACTAATCCTTATATTTTAGTGTATTTTTACATCAGATAAAATGTTATACCTTAGAACAAACACTCAGAAGTTTCACTCTAAAGGTATACAATATCTAGCTCAGCTATTCAACAAATGTTTGTCTGTTCTCCTTCAGCCCCATAATGCTATTAACATATTCCCCCAGTTGTTTGGTTAAAGCCACTTTTTAATAGGCTATGTTGATTCTTCATTAATTATAATGCCTTAAATGGAATCCATGCCACACCAAATTCATAGCAAATTCCATTCTATATTGAATAAACTTATATTGAGGAACTCTTTGGGAAGGCTAAATTTGATTTCATCATTCCTGTTTCTTCTCATGGATTTCTGGACAGTGAATATAATTTTTACTTCTGCTGAGAATGTTGACTTTGAAGGAGGTTCCTGTGTATAGACAATTCTCTGGAACTTTTTTCATAAGGGATTCTCTAGGTCATGTCACAGAAAAGTATACCTGAGGTTAGATAATCATAGCTCAGAGTCATCTGCAATTAAAGTCTTTCCCAGTTAAGCTCTATCATATTTCGCTTTGGGGACTAACAGTTATCTGTGAAAATGTCCCAAAAGATTCAATAAAAACCTACAATATCTCAAAAAAAAAAAAAGGATCTCATGAGGACAACACTTAAAAAATATAACAGGCAAAGGAAATTAGGGTGATTCTCTACTAAACATATAATATAGTAGAGTAGGTTAAAACATTGTGGTTCATGCCTTATGCCTCAGGCATAAAAGAAATTTGCCTTCTCTCTACCAAGCTGTTTCACTACTCAGCAATCTTTTACTGGGTTGATATATACAGCTCTCATAGTGTCTTCTCTTTTAAAAAACAAATGTCTTGATCAAGGAGCTCTTAAATTTAGTCACTCTAAGATAAAAATTACAAAAATAGTTTTAAATATTATTTCATTATTTCTATAAAACACTTATATCACTGAATCTTAGTTGTATTAATGAAGTAAAACTTTTGGGATCTCCTGTAAGTTTGCCTCTTTGACTAACCATCCAGCTAGACTTGCATAAATCTATATATATTAAATCATATTAAAAACATTGGAAATTTATGCCTAAATTTACAGTGAATGAAATATCTTTAATATATAGTTTTCTTTTGAAATTCTATGTGGAAAATTGTTTTGTTTTGCATTTGTCAGGTTTATGTTGCAATTATGCTATGTAACAAACATCCCCCAAAACTCATTGTGTGAACTTTTTCCTTCCAACACTAAATACGTGTCATTTTTCCACAGTAATTGTCTGACATCAACGAGGTGTTCAGTAATTCTCTGGAAATTCAATTTTGACACCAACCCCCAGGGTTAATACAGATCCCACAGGTTAAAGGCTTAGTCTCACAAGACTGACCCCACTTCAAACATCAGCCACAAATGGGGTGCTCAGGCTACCCATATTTTTTCCCAGAAGACTACAAATTCAGGGGTTCCCATGATGCCTCCTCAGGTTTGACAATTTGCTAGAACTATTTGCAGAAATTAGAAAAGTGCTTTACTTAAAATTACTGGCTTATTTTAAAATAAACAACTCAGGAGAAGCTAAATGGAAGTGATACACAGGGCAGAGTATTGACAGGAGGTAGAGGGGGTAGGGGGATGCAGAGCTTCTATGCCTTCTCTGGGCTCATCCCCCTCCCAAAACATCAATGTGTTTACCAACCAATAAGCTCTCTGAATCTCATTGTTCAAGAGTTTTTATAGAAGTGTCATTATGAAGGCATGATTGGTAAATCATTAGCAGTTGATAACTCAATTTCCAGCCCTTTCCCTTAATCACGATAGGTTTTTCTGATGACCAGCCCCCTCTATGAAGCCATCTGTGGCACCCCCACCAGATATATCATCAGCATACAAAAGATGGTAAGTTCAAGGGATCTTAGGAGCTTTGTGCCAGGAATAGTCAATAAAGACCAAATATTTATTTTTTTATTATATACAACACAGTGGCTTATAAAAACAAATATTCTTTCATCTGTTATAGATCTTTCTGTAGGTACGTTTGGTCTTTGCAGAGTTTAGTGAGGATCATCTGGGCTTAGCCCAAGTTAAGACTTAGCAGAGATATATTTGATGTATTTTCTCATTTTGGGCCCAGCAGTTATCCAGTATATGTTTCTGTCATGGTAAGTGGTCTATGCACCAGTGAGGTGAACAGAAATATGAAATGCCTCTTAAAGCTTCATATTAGAAGCAGTATACTATCCCTTCCACCCACATTCAACTGGCCAAAGCAAATCACATGATTAAACCCAAAGATGGATCAAGGAAGTATCTCCACTCTGCTCACATGGTGTTAGTTGAGTGGGGAGGGGAAGTAGAAAAATATTTTCCGACAAATAATACAATACACCAAAGGTCTTCAAAGTTTTTCCTCAAAGGGTCAGATAGCAAAGAGCATCACCAAAAGTATGGCTAGTTCCAGCCAGTCCGTGGCTTATAGTTTGCTTACCCTAACAATATAACACAGTGTGCCCTATTGTCACAATTTTCACTCCTAGATACAAATCGATGATACTCCAAGACTCATATTCAATCAGGATCAAAGTCTAGGATCTTATGGCAGTATATATTTTAGACTAAAATTTAGCAACTCATGATCTAGAGACTTATCATCTGCTTCCATATGTGGCAAGTCATATACACAAAATGAAAAGAGGTAGGTCAACTGCAGTAAACATCCTCATTTGGAAAAGAATTGAGAGCACAAATCCCACTGAGTGTGGTAAATACATCCTGATTATATCCTAGAAACAACTTCTAGGAGTAACTCACCATTCCATTGTTCAACATGGTTCTTTGATCCACCCTTCATAATATCTTCTCTTTCTTCATTGTTGGCCACATCTGAAAAGACAATCAGAGAATATAACTTTCTTAGAACTTAACCAGCTTCCTAAGCCTGTTTCTTGATTGCATAAAGTTGGAACCCCAAAGTTCTCTTTAACTGTTCATTCTCAAATTCAGGGTGATGTACTTTTGTAATTTTTTTTTTTAGGCAGTGAGTTTGATCCAGTCAGTCCTATATGTCAAAAGTCACATTCACAATTCTTTTTATGGAATGCCTCTCTCTCTCTCATTTACAAATCCTTTAGCTATATCTTCCGTCAGTGGTATTACACCCTTCGTCTCCAGTATAGGAGTCATTTTGTCCAACTATAAAGATCTACTGAGTCCCATATTAAGCCATTTAGAGTTTCTAACCAAAAATGTGATAATTACATTCATATTTCGATGTGTGCTGTGGGGCTGTTTCCTTAAAATTGAGTCCTTGATATGGGTTTTAACCATGAAGCTGAGTCTTAGAAAGCCTTTAAACTCAAAATATTTTTTTTATCTTCAGCTTGTGAAGATAAAAAATATTTATTTTTTACCTTCTAGAAGGTTTAAATTCTAGAGTTACTGATCATTCTATATTCCCTTTCAAATTTGATTATTTTTTTCTATGTTCCTCTCTTGAGGTACCACTCCAAATGAAACTAGTAATAATCAGCTCAACCTATCAACAATCTGCATCAAAACTTCTGTACTTAATGCACAGATGAGACTCACTTTAGGTCCTATGAGAAAAATCTATTGAAAAGATAGAGAAAAAGTATTCCATGCTAATAGTAATCAAAAAAGAGAGCGGTGTCCATACTAATATCAGATCAAACAGATTTTATGTCAAAATGGTTACAAAATATTTACAAGGTCATTATTTATGAAGAGAATAATTCATTAGGTTTAGTATTACCAAGTGTTTCACCCCCAAATACCATGGATTGACATTTATAGGTTATTTACAACAGTTTCCTCACTATCTCATTTCAAAGCCAATGCCCTATATTTTAGGCTGTTGTCATGGCTACATGCTATTCTTCTTTTAAAATTTCAACTTTTAGTTTAGATTCAAAAGAAGACATATAAGCAGCCAACAAATATATAAAAATGCTCAACATCACTAATCATCAGAGAAATGCATTCCATCCTTACTTCCAATTTTTGCAAAAGGTTTTGCTTTAACAATGATGCTTAACAAACATTTGTAAAATTTAGTGGTTGACAATAACAAATGTGTATTTCTTGCTGGTTATAGAAGTTAACAGAGTTCATTACTGTTAGATCTGACCTACCTGAAATTCTAGAGAGTCTTTCAGGTTAAAATGCAAAGATATTAGACAGTAACTTAAAGCTATATGAAGAAATAAAAACTCCAGAAAAGTTAAGTTCGTAGGTAAATATAAAAGCCACTAATATTGTATTTTTGGTTGGTAACTCTTTTTTTGTTTCCTATATAATTTAAAGGACATATGCATAAAACAATAGTTATATATCTGTGTTAATGGGCA